ATAGTTTAAAATAACAGTTATTAGATTTAATATTATTAATAAGCTTTTTAATTTATTTTATAAAATATGATGTATTAAAAGTGACAATACAGTCTATATTATTGAATCCATTGTTGTTTCTATTATTTGTTTATTTAAAACTTATTAAATTATATTTTAATTATTTGCTATAAGTCATATGACCAAACTATTAACACATAAGAAGAATTCTAACTAAGATTTAACATATTATAATTTCAAATTAAGTAAAAGAAAATAAAAGAATACAGAAGATTAAAAAAAATTGAAGAAAAAGTTTAGAAGAGAAGACTTGTACTTCCCTATAAATAAACCAATCAATCAAATCTAACATATATATTTTAATTTAACTATTATAAGTTATATAAGAATTAGAGAAAATTAGTAACAGACTTACTAATTTGCCAATTTATACTATAAAATTACTAATGTTTAAATAATAAATTAATTTATATTAGAGTATAGATCCTATAGCTTAGTGTTTAAGTTCCTATACCTTTCACAGTTAAGATCAATAATTCAAGTCTGATTAAAGACAAAATTGAAAGATTTTAGTTTCTGTAACCTAATAAGAAGTCTGTAATTGAATGCAAAATCCTGTAATTAAAGTTTAAATGCAATATAATGATGGAAGTAAAAATTTCCAGAAGAAGACTCAATTGTAAAGTAGAGGTACTATGTATAACAAGTGGTTGTTATAGAAGATTATGGTTATGGAAAGATTATACATATAAGTCCTTTAGACTAAAGCAATACTAATATCTTTATACCTCCTAATATAGGCAGTACCAATATCTCTGCATCCAACTTGTGAGAAACTTATTTGAAAAAATAATTAACAAATTATGCAAATAAGTCTTAATTGAAATCCAAGAAGAGGATTTGATTGGAAAAGTAGTCTGAAAATAACCAAGACTAGAATAGTAAGAGAAGTGGTAAACATAAGAATAGACTGTTATAAAGGATTGGTCTAATCAAAAATTAGAAACATCTCTGACATAGCTGAATAATCTAATTATAGAAAGAAATATCTTTAAAATAAATATATAACTTTCTTGTATAATATAAAAGTACCAAATCAGGTTTTAGTCATATCTATATAAAAGCCTATGATAAACAAAACTAGGAATCAATCAACCAATATGAAATAAGATCTGCAAGGTAGTATAGTATCACTAAAGTCAGTGTAACTCCTTGGGCATAATCAGAATTGTTCTACAGGTATTGTTGAATAAGTTAGAAGTTTGCAATATATGGTAGTATAATATTACTAGAGTTAGAAGAACTCTCTAGTTATAATCAGAATTGTCCTGTTTATAAATACAACAAGTCTTAGTCTCTACCATAAAAGAAAACATTATGTTAGAGATTAAATGCAGCATTGAGTTACTATATAACACTAAGACCTAGGGCATCTGCAGGAGCAGTAGCAGCAGATTTGGCTTAAGATACAGATTGATCAAAAGACTAATGTGACAGCAAATCTAATTTAAGATATGAGTTTATTGCAGATCCTGAACCATTGTCAGAACATCTTAGAGAAAATAATAACAGGCATACCAAAGATAGAAAGATCATAAGGATCAGACATACCTGATTTAGACCAATTTGGAAGTAGTATAGTGACAAAAAAATAAAAAATGTAAGGAACAAGGTAATACTAGATATAGTTAGATTAGAAGACAGAAGAAACAAGACCAGATAAAACATATAAGTGAAACACATGGATATGATTTATAGAAGACAGTACCTCTGGCATTTGGGATACTGCATTAAGTTTGGTAAGTATCCTTGTCTGTGTAGCAGTTTAATGTATATCATGACCACAAGTGGTTGTCAAGATAACTGTATGCAAGCATGCAGCAGACATACACTTAGGTGCTATAAGAGTAACCAGGTAAAGTCAGTAGTGTAAAATTAGATAGTATATAGTATTAGTAATAATTGATCCTAAAAAATATAACTGTAAATCTGTATTATATCAAATTAGAGCTAATAAACCAACTGACATTGTCACTAAAGTTAAAAAAAAATTAATTTACATAGATAATTTTCTTTTTATTATACTTTTTTTTACATAATAAGCATAGTTGAAATTTTACAAGTTTATGCACTAAGATTACACCAAGATACTTATATAGTAACACAAAAAAATACTTAATTGTGATTGGTTAATTTAGAAACATATCAAAAATTTCAAATTTTTTATTTTTTTTAAAAAAAATTAACCAGCTTTGAGATTTTTTTAAACAATATGTAATCAAAAATCAATTTAATTTTTTTTATAAATATATTCTATAAATCTTTAAATATTAAATATATTTATTTAATTGTAAGTTAATATGTAAAATTTACATTTTAATTCAAATGTATCAGGTTGGTGTATTATGCTTAATGAGACGGCCAATACTTTTTAAAAAAATGAAAACCAACCATAATAAAGAAAAAAAAACCACATAAAAGTTTTCATTAGGACTGTAGGATCTATAGTCAAAAAAAAAAAATCTAATTCTCGTTCGTTTAAAAAAATTGGCTTAGTAATAAGTTGATTTTATCGGGATTTGAGTAGGTATTACTATACTAACTTTCTAAACGGGCGAGAATTAGATCTAATTTTTTGCTAAGGAGTCCTACAGCTCAAATGAAACCTTCTATATAGTTTTTTTTTTTTATTTCATTATGATTAGTTTTCGTTTTTTAAAAAAGTACTCTAAATTGTATAAATAATGTAAAATTAAATTGAATTTATTAGCTAATCAGACAAACTTCTGCCTATGAAATCTGTCCTCATAAGGACCGAGACGGAACAGACCGGTGCATCTCTATTCTTAACAAGCAGCGTCTTTAGCTTCGAAGAGGTGCTATAAAGCTAACAAAAATAATCTCAATTTATGAGAGGTTTGCTTGACAACGATGTTTTGAATTAGCTAAAGGAAAAAAGCCTTTTTTTCAAGCTACTAAATAAAACCGGCTTTTAACAGAAATACCGATTTTTTTATTTTTTTAGATTAAGAGATCTTAAGTCTGGTTTTTAGATGAGACAAGATTATAGTAGAGAGGTTTGAATATGACATATGATATAAGCTTTAAGCCAGATTAGTTCTTATAGAGCGATTATTACTTTTATACATTTACAGATATATTTCTCAAATATATATTTTCTGATTCATTTACTTTCTTATTACATATAAGACTTTCTTTTCTTTGTAGTTTTCATTAATATAATAATTCGATATCGTAATAAAGCTATGCAGTTTTATTAGTCAGTAATCACGGGTAGATCTACAAAATTAATCTATGACATCAGAGTATGTTTCTATACCGAAATTTTGCAAGGTGTTTTTTTATCGGAGCGCTAGAGGCGGTTTCATAATCAAAATTTTGAGTTGTTGAAAAAGCGTGCTTTACGTTACACCTGATCAAATGATATTGGGTCAATGACTTTAGGAAACCTGATTAATTCATGTTCGTCAATCGAGGTAATTTGAATATCGATATCTTTGTTTAAAGCCGATATAAAGTTATTAGCCATTGGTAAATTTACATTTAATGAAAGCTTTACTATATTAGTCATCCAAGTGTTATAAAAATATTCACTGGACTATTAATGACAGAGTTTCATTAACAAACATAGAATTAATAACTGCTACATAAACATAAATATAATAGACGTCTTTAATAGACGTTTTTAATAAAAATAAATCATTAAATCATATAAAATAAATATAAAATAATATAAGAATATATATATTTAATGAAAAGAAAAATTTAAGGTACACACAGTAATCTATTTTAATATTTTAGATTGTAATGAATTTAATTAACAAGGATCACTCGTAAAAGAACCCGAGGGCAAAGGATCAAATTGAGAAGTTGGCAATTGCGGACAGATCATATTGTTATCATAAAAAGATATAGAATTATTCACAAAGTTATATTCACAAGGTTCTAAGTGTAAAGAATCAAAATGAGAAATTAAAGATATAGAATCACTTGTGATGTTATGTTCACAAGCTTCTGGTGGTAAAAATTGGTATGGTTCACTAGATAAGTCATAAGTTTCTTGCACATTGATTGAAATTATTTGATTTGAAGCAGTAAAAAATAATGAACAGTCAACATCTGGTTCTGAATAATAGTTATTATTAATGTTTGCAGAAATTTCTTGATTTGAATCAAAAATATTAGGAGTAAAAGATATTGAATAATTATTATTTGTTGAAGTGGCATGGTTTTGCTCGTTTACTGGTGTCTATAATTAAGAGACAGTAAAAATATATAATTAATTATTAAATAACTGATGAAGTGAAGAGAACATACATTTAGGAATCCAGAGCGAGTTGATGATTCATCAAAGGTTGAAACAGTATGCGTTATTGTTGTTGAAGGATTGACAGATAAGATAGTAGTTGTTGAGGTTTGTGGAGTGGCAAGTGTAGTTGTAGACAGCCCATGATTGAAATAATTGAAATCACCACAATCATTGGAAACTCTCGGTCTTGGTTTACGCCCACGTTTTTCATTAGACTTAATAAATTCACATTCAAGTTTTCTTTTTTTACAATTTGAACAAGGGCATGTTCCGGAACATTTTTTTCGCCTCTTTTTACAATTTGTACACGCATTGGTAACGTGAGCTCTTTGTCGAAGTCTATTGCGCATTATATCCATGTTTTCAAAGTAGCTGATTATAATACTGAGAAAATTGAGGTATTAAATAAGTATGAGCGAAGCAGTAATTGATCATGCCTACTGATACTGTTCAAACTCTGAAATTTGAAATACATACCAAATAAAGAATTTAAATAACTTTATAAAATCAAAGTTCAAAAAAACTCTTGTCTCCAAAAACTAAGGGGAGGAGAATTTTTATGTACAGTACTTATATTAAGATTATAGTGTCACAATGCTATTTTTAGCAGCAAGACGTAAACATAATTAACTAAACAAACAAATTTTATGCACTGACTACCAAATTACAAAAAAAGCTTAAATGTAAATTACTAATTATTTGTTGCATAGAATTTCATAATATCGGGGCAAACATTTTACGCAAATTATGATAAATTATTTGTTCACTGTTGAAATCCAAGTAACTTGGTAATGAATCCGAGCTTTAAATATTTCTGAACAAATTTGTGATCGATATTCTAGTAAAAGTACGGAAAGTGAGAAATGCTAATCCAGCTATCTCCGTATACCTTTTACGTCTAATGAATTGTTGCATTATCGATCTTGTTTTGATATGATATTGTTCGGTTAATCCATGGATTAAATTTAAATCGACAATCATGGTGATACTAGTATGACGTTAACTCACGGCTTTGTAAATTCTATTTGTGTTGGTAATACAAAAAAAATAGCAAATCAGGGTACATGATTTGTTTTTTTTTTTAAGCACGTGCTAAGAAAAAAAATCATATCGGCCGATTTGACTAACAAAGTGCTTTTTTAGTCCAATATGTGATAAAAAGAAAACAAATAAAATAATTGTGCTAACTAAAAAAGAAAACCACTATGGATGTTTTTAAAAACGTTCAATTTTTTCTGGTAGTGGGAGAACAGTTTGACCCGAATAATGAGCAAGAGTGAAGGTGAAAGCAAATTTTTAAGAAACTAACCTTTTAATCTATAATTATCTGTCTCATTCTGCAATAATCGAAATTTTACGAATAACTATTCTAATTTATTTTAGGTTTGTATTACCGATACACTCAAAATAAACGTCATACCACCTGCATGCCACAAAACGCCACCAAACATACGCCACGGCATTTATGCAACATTTTGTACATTTTTCGCCACAAGATTGTCACACAACGGCACATAAAAATAGAAACTTAGCTACATAAAAATAGAATACTAATACACAACGGTGCATAAAAATAGAAATTTATACACAACAATGTCACAACACTAAATCTTCCATGTTACATGAATTCCAAAACGCGCCACAGTGAAGATTATGTTTTGGTTTATCAATCGGCAAAGAAAATTCTTAGTCAATTCATGTGACTGGGCTACCTTAAGTGGATAAATGATAGTTGAAAATCTTTTTTAACGGAATGGGGAAATCAATTTTTAGTAATTCTTTGTCCGGAGTTATTATGTGTAGGTATAAACCCCCGAAATATGCAACCCATATACAGAAGTCGTTATCATGCTACATATCTTGTGAAACATTATTGTCACTTTTATTATGGTGCGAACAATCTAAAAACATCACTAATAACATGATGCCATAATAATACACCACAGTGACAATCAAATGTCCTGGTGTAAAATGTGCCGTTCATATGACTTCACGGTCCAATCATCATTTCCTGCATCACATAAAGCCACTCTAAAAATTTGTTTTCTAAAAATTACTACTACTCAAAGAATCTTTGAAATTTTGTAAAATAATACTTGGTAGGTATTATATAGAACTATAGATTTAAGTATTATTTTTGTAAATTTGGAATATTTATTGGAGAGTAGCAGTTTTAAATGTTTTTAGATGGATCTCACCATAACGGTGTTGGAATATGACCGGAATGCTAGAGATGTAACCTAATGTGACGTAATATGACTTGATGTGACGTAGGCAAACCTTCTTCTGATTGGTCAAAAATTTACGTGATGTTACTTGTAAAACATAACACTCTAATGTGACCATAGTGACCGATGACAATAGGTCATGTGCATAATGACCAAGGTCATTCAACAAATGACTTAGCCATTTACCAACACTGCACCATAATAAGCAATACGAATTTTAGAGATAGGTTTAGATTTATATAAAATAATTATATTCTAAAATGAAGGAATTCCAAATCCATGTAAATTCCGTTCCTACTTACAACGGAATATTCAAACCGGTTTGCTAAACCGAAGATTGAGTACCCAAAACTGGTTTAATGATGCTTGACAATTGACCACCTATTTCGTCAGGAAACTTCGAGTTGACACATGATAAAACTCGTGACGGATGACGAAACGCATGACGGATCATAAATTCGATAGTAATATAGCATTTGAGCATGATAAATGTATGAAATAATTAAAAAAATGCTTTATGAATCATCGAAGCCTACAAATTATAATGGTTGCAACAGGAATAACAACTTGTGCTCAAAAAATTCATCATGTCGAATAGCATAATTCAAATGCCATTCAACATCAATAATGGCTAACAAATGGAAGAACTTTCGTAATTAAGCAATTTTTGAATGACGAATTGATGAAACGAAAACTATTATGAATAATGAAACACATGAAGGTTGATGAAGCACAAGGCTATTCTTATTCCTTTCTTAATTGAAATAAATTAATCCATATGAAGTTCATTATCATACCTACCCAGGTTTTTTTTTTGAATACATTAGATTTGCAAAAGTACTATCATTGACCATGATAATTTCTCGTTATTACTGGTTCTAAATAAAAAGGCTATCGTCATTGACCTATATATGATAATATAATCCTTTAAAACACAGAATTTAAATGTAATTTTCACTTTTCTAATTACATATATATACGTACAGTAGCAACGCCCGATTTGCAGATAATTACACGTGAGCAAATAAAAAGGCTGTGTATACTTCATGTTGTTACAGGCGGAATATGACTACCTCAATTTACAACAAACCCTAAAGAATTATTGCTTCAGAACGTAGTACGTCGTGTAACGTTCTTCAACGTTTTAGAGGCGGAACGATTTGGCACTGGCCCAAGCGATAATTAAGGAACGTTATGAAAAGAGTTTTGATAGGGTGAGTGGAAGGTCCTTAAAGAACATTTTACTTGGTTAATTTGATTTTTGATTTTTGTGGAATGATTTTTGAGAATTTTATTATTTTTAAATTTTTTTTTTGTAGTGTAGGATTGGCATATCCTTTGTTTAAGCGAAAATGCATTCTTTTTATAAGGATTTTACAAAGAAGCAAGAACATTTTTTAAACTTAGTCATTATGCTAACATATTATTCTTATTATCTCAAGTCTTTTTTTTTCTTTTGACTAAGTTTTATACTTTTGCAGCCTTTAGTTTTCAAATAACATTAGGTATTTAAAACATTTTTAATGTTATTTCCAATTTGCAGTTGTGAAAAATCATGTGAATGCATGATTGTGTTTGAGTTAGTCACATATTTTTTCTAACAATATAATATTAATCTATTTATTTATTTTAGACTTTATTTTTGTCAATCACATTAATGCAGATTGTCTTATTATTTTAAGTTTGTTAACAATAATTGTTTTGAAGACCTTATAAATATCAATTTAAGGTTTTACTTTTATTTATACTTTAATCTCATTATTAAAATGAATTTTTTATTATAAAAGAGTAATTATTTAAATCATTTTAAAATTTTATTATAAAATTATATAATGTTATAACAGATATTTATTATAATAAATATAATTTCTAGGTCAATTACTTTATTATAATAAGAATAAAGTATATTTCAGATATTTTTGAAGATTTGTAAATGTAGATTTTATTATTAACAATACTTATATATTTTGAAATAATTTTTTTACTTTCTTGATATTAAAATAACTAAGCTCAAAACAAAAAAATATAATTTTATAAAAATGTTATACAAACAAATAATTAATATTATAATTGATTTTAAATTTAACTGAAATTAATATTTATGTAATATAAAATAAGACAATTTTGTTGTTATATATAGAGTTTATTTATATTAAAGTTAGTATTTAAATTAGTATTAAAGTTTATATTAAGGTTAAAGATCAATAAGCTATATAATAAAATTATAAAAGAAATCTTTTGCTAATATATAAAAGGTTATTTTTTTGCAAGCTTTTTATTTGGTATTAAGATAAGGCCTTGCTTATATCTTTATTAATAATTTAAAATAGTTACATATATATATGCTGTAACCAAAGTCAATACTTGCAGTTAGAGTTAACCATTAAACTGCTAACTATACAGCTATTATTATTTGTACAAAACAAATAAATTGAAAATTACATGCAAGAATAAAAACTCAAACTAGTTTATCTGTGATCTAAATCTGCTAAAGTGATCAAAGCTTATTTAAATTTGCTTAGCAAGTTTTTTGTATTTTTAAAATTAAAATTTAGTTTAAATTTTATAATTATACCTTACTATTGATCAATTATTATATGAATTTTAATATTAGTATTAGTTGTGATAATTAATTAAATAAATGAATAATTTTTATTTATATTAGTATAATAAGTTTTGAATATATTATTACAAGATCAGATATATTATAACAATAGTTTAAAAGTTCTTAGAGAAATATAAAAAAATCAAAAAACTAAAATTAATTTTAGTTTAAATATTTTTTATTTTTTTAAAAAAAAAGATTATTACAATAAAAAAGTATTAAAAAAGAATATATATTATTACTTAAAATTATAGAAAATTAAATCTTTAATTCAATATATAAGATGTAGATTTCATAACTTAGCAGTTAAGCTTCTATACTCCTACAGTTAAGGTTAATGATTCAAGTTTAGTTAGAAGCAAAATTGAAAGATTTTAGTTTTTGTAACCTAATAAGGAGCTGTAATCGAATATGAAGCCCTGTGGTCAAGTTCAAGTGCAGTACATAATATAAGTAAAAATTTCTGAAAGAAGACCCAATCATAAAATGCAAGAACTATGTGTAACAAATAGTTATTACAGAAGGT